GGCTCTTCTGCCACATTGCATGGGGGTGTCAGCAGGGGCCTGTAGGCATAGTACCATAAGAGGAGTCAGCCCAAGTTCCAGGAAGCAGTTTTGGAAGTGGATTCTCAAAGATGGAGATGAGGTGTTTGCTTTTTAAGGTTGATTTATTTGAAAGGTGGAATGATAGAGATAGAAGACAGAGAGAGAGAGCAACTGATCCATCAATCTTCCATCCACTAGTTCACTCCACAAATGGGCGTAACAGCCAGGGCTGGGACAGGTAAGCTGAAACCAGGAACCAGGAACTCCTTCCAGGTCTTCCACATTAGTGGTCAGGGACTTGAGTAACTTGGGCCATGATCTGTCACCGCACAGAGACACACTGGCAGGACGCTGGATCAGAAATGCCGAGTAGCCAGGACTTGACCCAGAGACTGGGTTATGGGCTGTGGGGATCCCAAGCAGTGTCTTTGCCTGCTGCAAAACAACAGCAGTCCCAAGATGAGTTTATTGAGATGGAGAAGCAGTGAGAGACTGAGAAGGCAGAGGATTTGATGGCCCTCAGGACCCAGTGAGAGTGGGGGTATCAGTGTGGAAAGATGTTCAAGCTGGCTAAGCACTTGGTGCCCTTGATTAGGTATCCTTGTGTTTCTCAGTGTTACATGTGGCTTGGGGGAGCAGACAACCACACATGATGCCTCCAGAGTTCCTTGAAGTCAGTGAGAGAGGCATTTAGGTGACCTGTCTCCCACATGAACCAAACCTTGGTGCAATGTATTGGGGGACATGTGTCTTCACAGTGCTGTGCCCTCCTAGCTGGATTCATCACACTGTCACTGCAATTGGAGGGACTTTTCAAACCCTCCTCTGCCAGCAGTCTGCTATATTAATTGGCCACCAGAAAGTTCTTAATGGTCAAGTGCTTTGAAAAATATGCTACTCTCCCTATGGCTCCACGTGCCCAGCTTTGCCTTTAATCATCAGACATACTTGGGAGTCTGATCCTAGTTAAGGGTCAGCCTGGCCATGCCTGTCACTGGTACACCCTTCAGGATGTCATATCACCTCCTGGAACTTTGGTTTCCTCTGAGTAAAACAGAGCAAGATTGACTCTTAGCTGGAGTAAAGACTTAGATACAAGTACTCCAGAGAAAGCCACCACTCCTGCCATGAAGTTAGTAGAGGGAAGAGACTCATTTTTGGTGATATCATTGTTGCTGGGCTCAGCTGAGCCCATTGCTGATTCTTACCTGGGCCAGATGGACATTTGATGTCTGCTGGTGGAATTCTGGGAGTCTGTGAAGTTGGATAGCATCAAGAGAGGCAGAGTTTGAGGGAAACAGATCATAACCTCACCTTTTCCTTTTCTTTGGTTGTCCTCATGTGTTTTATTACATGTTGCAAAAACACTTGAAAAAACCTTGCGTCGCATATCACTATTAGGGGTAGGGCTGGCTGATGCTTTTCCCGCTAGCTGGTTTGTTGGAATTGAATACCACTTGTTTCAACAAGTGGAGGCTGTGCAGTCTCTTCATTTTATGTTTGTCAAACTCCAGATTCTAGTTGACAGCCCTATGCATTACACTTCTAAGTAAAATCGTGCTTTTTACTACAGATAAACACCCATTCTCGATTTCTAGTATGCAGTGCCATTCCTGGCAGGGTAGTCGGTGTGTGCCTATGCATGTGCATGTCTGCTTATGAGAGGAAGCAGATGTGTGTGGAGCATTTGGGTCTGTTAATTAGAAATCCAGTTAGATTATAAAAGTATGATAGAATAAGCCAATTAGGGTAGTTGCCACTTTTCTTTGACTAATAACTACTAAAAAGTTTCCTCCCTTTGTGGGGGCCCTAGTAGTTGCCTAACATTTGCACATTTATGAGGAGCTCCAAAGACAGTAGCAATGAAAATTGGTGCAGGACACAGATTTCTGTCCTGACTTCCTGTTATAACCCAGTGTCATTCTCTTCTACCTTTTGTCAGCTCTGCGCTTTCTCTCTAGGAAGAACATTAGTGAAAAGCACAGAAACCAGTGACTCTTGTGGCTGTGGAATTTAAGTGGAGCAGAGAGCAGAGCAGGACCTCCCGGGCCCACCGGCTGGCCCTCCACACTCCTGAGCTTGTTTTGTGAACTTGAAGGAAGCAGTGTTCCGGACAGGGAGGGAGCAGAGAAAGGGTGGGAGAAGCTATGGGGCAAATGTTTTACAACCTGAACCTCAGAACTGTGATCCCCCAAGGAGAGCACTACTTGAAGGCAAGAAAAAAAAAAGTCAAATGGCTTCTCAGGGATTTTGCTTTCCATGTACATAAAAGCCATAGTTTCTGTACAGCTGGCAGTATTTCGAGCACTTAGATTTCAGTTCTGTTCAATATGAAAGAAGAATCGACTGATGTTCATTGCTTTTCCATAACTAGTGTAAAATATGTATATGTTTATCTTTATTTTTATAATATGCAAATGAAATTATATTTATACAGTTTTAATCTTCTAGCGTTAGTTGACACTGGGTGCAATGCTTTGCATGAGAACTTTGCCTAGATGGGGCCCATCTCATTTTCCCGCACCAGCAAGTCTTGTTTGTTCTTTCTTTATTCTTTAATCTGCCTTCTCAGATTCAGAAAAAGAAAAGATATCTGTCTAGGAGCCCAGGGTCTTGAGAGATTGCCAGCAATGAGCAAGGGCCTGACATGTGGGTCTCAGACATTATCCCCACCCTGCCTGTGAGTCACCAGGGGTCCCCTCCCTTTCCTCGAACAGCCTGAGTGCATGGGCACCCTGATTCCTTTCAGTAACTTAAGAGCATCAGGGATCCATTCTGAATTGTGCCAAGAACTCTACTGTTAAGTCTCCATCTTGGCTAGAACAGTCTGAGATGTAGCACAGCACTTTGAGGCCCCCCACATCTGGTCAGCAGACCTTCAGAGAGGGGACTGCCTAATTGGAGAGTGACATTGCTCCTGAGTTACTGGTACACACGGAGCCTCTCATTGGACCAGTAAGACCCTGGTTTTTTTGTCTTGTTTTGTTTTGTTTTTGACAAGCAGAGTTAGACAGTGAGAGAGAGAGACAGAGAGAAAAGTCTTCCTTCTGTTGCTTCACCTCCCAAATGCTGCTACTGCCGGCACGCTTAGCCCATCCAAAGCCAGCATATGGGAAAGAAAAAATACCAAGAAAAGAAGAATGCAAAGTCTAGAATCCAACAAACACCACCAACTCTCTGCTATGGCCTGAGAAACCAGTAGAAGATGGCCCAAGTCCTTGGACCCTGCACCTATGTGGGAGACCCGGAAGAAGCTCCTGGCTCCTGGGTTCAGATCAGTGAAGCTCCAGCAATTGCAGCCAGTTGTGGAGTGAGCCATCAGATGGAAGACCTCTCTCTCTCTCTCTTTCTCCCTTTCTCTCTGTCTCTCCACTCTCTATGTAACTCTGACTTTCAAATAAAAAAGTAAATCTTTAAAAAAAATCTTGATGCTTTCTTCACTGATCCCCTAGATTTCTAAATCAGCTTGTGGATTTGCAAGTGTTGAAATTCCCTTTTCCCTGAGCTGTCTTTCATGGGCTCTTCACAAAAGTCCTACCACACCCCTTACCCCCCACCACCTTGTAACTATTACCTAACCCCATGCACCCCAACCCCCGGGGCTGTGTGTGAGGCAGAAAGGGTGGGCCCCTCAGGTACCCTATCAGAGGCTCTGTTGCTCCTGATTTGCAGATGAGAAGACAGCAGAGGAAGAAGCTTGTGGCTGCAGAAGCAGTAGCCCCAGAACAAGAAGACCTCCAGACAGTTAGGGAGAGCCACCCACTGTCCTAGCTGCACACACACATTACCAGGGAAAAGCAGAAACCATGAGGTGGCAAGCATTTCCAAGGGAGTTGTGCAGCCAGAGGTGGGCTCCCAGGGAGAGACTGCCCTAACAGCTGTAGCCAGATAACACCAAGGACTCGGGATTTTCGCCACTGCTGTCCCCGCCTTTGGGAGAGCACTCAGGAAGCATCCATCATCCATTTGGGCTCTGTTTTTCTTTGGCAAGCAACTCTGAGTTCTTTAAACTTGCTGAGCAAGTCACACAGATAAGCAGATGTTGATGATGACAACTAGAAACGCATTATTTATCACCCATCTTGTTCCCACCCGAAGCTGTTCTGTTTTAGGTTTCCTGAGCTTTGAAAGCAGGGTGCCAGACACAGGATGGCAGCTCTAGTGCTGAATTCAAATGCCTGGGGTTTCCTTCTCCTATGACAGTTTCTATCTCCCATGAGGGAGGCTGCCTGGTGGAACTTGACTTTGCAATGAGTAGGAAGGGGGTGTGGTGGGCAGAGCATGAGACAGTTCCCCTGGTGACACACACCATATTAGAATACAGTCATGCACCACATAGGTTGTTCCAGTCTGCAATGGTCCACCCATGTATACAATGTTAGTCCTGTAGGAGCCTACCACTAGTGACCAGTTATATCCTGGAGTCTGCTTGTGTCAGCACACTCCATGATATTTGTACAACATTAAAAGTTCACCTAACAGTGCACAGTTCACGTCTCAGTGCACTCTTGTCAGTGACACTACTACTGCATGTGGCCCTTCTATGAAGCATCACCCTCTTTATCTTATATCCATGTACAAGAAATATTTTTGAGTGAAATGTGTTTTGCTCTATGCAATGAGAATAACCCCTAGTTTCCCACATTGCTCTGTAAGCCATTTGCATCTTCTGAGATACTAAACACCTGCTGCTTTTTAAAAGGGCTCTGAGGTCCAAGAATTTGGGGAATAATGCACTAAATAAAGCAGGAAAGTCCTTCCTGCAGGACTCAGAGGCCATTTAAGATGCTGATGTGCATGATGAGTCTGCAAAGGGGCAGAGAGGGCACAGCGTGTCCTCGTGTTTGTGTGTCTGAGCATGGAGGGGATCCTTTCTTGCGAGGTGGCTGTGGACGTGGGTGTGCACCACCCACATGGCCACAGGAGGCTGCCTGAGGCCTTTCAGATGACCACAGCCTGCTTTTGTTTCTGTCACACAGGAGACATTGTGGCTAAGAGTGCTGCATCCAGACTGCTCCCAGCTGAGTCTTGTGCCCCAGTTTTCTCGTGCGTCAAAAAGGGAACACAATCAACCTCCTACACTTGGTAGGAATATTAAATGAGATACCATGGGTGTATTGCTAACCAAATGCAGCTAATGTTATTCTGGTGCATAGTTCTCTCTCTCAGAAAAAAAAAAACACCTCATCAATCTAAGATACATTATCTTTCAATATCTACAACTTCTTGATGTAATTGTACAATACCTTTACAACCTTTAAAAGAATAAAACTTTCTGAGAACCTGAAAACATGTACCATAAAAAATTCACCATAACTCTTTTTTTTTTTTAAAAAAGAGCAGACTATAAATTTAGAGACTTCTACAGTATCCAGCTGGAATTTTTAACAATTTTTGTCTTTATTACATGTATTAATTGACTATTTGCACTGATGATCAAATCTTTGCTTTAAAAATGAATGCTAAGTAAAATATGAAGTGAATATGTACAGGTTATACATAAAGCCAGAAAAAAGTCAGGAAACTAGCTGCAATTATGAAAATGTATGTGAATGTCTGGCTCACACAATGAAGAGACCAGGACCACTGAACTGATGTGATCCCACTGGGTTGACACACTCTGCATGGAGATCAGGTGATTGGCCTGAGTGAGTCTGGAGGACCCCCAAGAGCTTTTTTTCTTTTCTTTTTTTTTAAGATTTATTTACTTGTAAGTCAGAGTTACACAGAGAGAAGGAGAGGCAGAGAGAGTCTTCTATCCGCTGGTTCACTCCCCAGTTGGCCACAACGGCCAGAGCTGCACTGATCCGAAGCAAGGAGCCAGGAGCCAGGAGCCAGGAGCCAGGAGCTTCTTCTGGGTCTCCCATATGGGTGCAGGGTCCCAAGGACTTGGGCCATCTTCTGCTTTCCCAGGCCATAGCAGAGAGCGGGATCAGAAGTGGAGCAGCCAGGACTTGAACTAGCACCCATATGGAATGCTGGCACTGCAGACAGCTGCTTTACCCACTTCACCACAGTGCTAGCCCCTGACAAGAGCTTTTAAAGGTAGATTTCTTTGGGCTGGCACTGTGGTGTAGTAGGTTAAGGCTCTACCTGTGGTACTGGCATCCCATATGGGCATCAGTTCGTGTCCTGGTTGCTCCACTTCACATCCAGCTCTCTGCTAATGTGCCTGGGAATGCAGTAGAAGATGGATCAGGTGCTTGGGTCCCTGCACTCTTGTGGGATACCAGGAAGAAACTCTTGGCTTCTGGCTTTAGATAAGAGTGAACCAGTGGATGGAAGATCTTTCTCTTTCTCTTTCTTTCTCTTTCTCTTTCTCTTTCTCTTTCTCTTTCTCTTTCTCTTTCTCTTTCTCTTTCTCTCTCTCTCTCTCTCTCTCTCTCTCTCTCTCTCTCTCTCTCTCTCTCAAACTCAGCCTCTCAAATAAATAAATCAATCTTTAAAAAAAAAGAATTATTTAAAAAAAGATTCCTCCCCCCCAGGGACTAGCATTTGGCACAGGGGTTAAGAGATCCCTTGAGAAGCCTGTATCCAATCTCAGATGGAGCACCTGGGTTTGAATTCCAGCCCTGCTTCCAATTCCAGCTTTCTGCTAAAGCTGTCCCTGGGAGGCAGCAGATGATGGCTCAAGTACTTGGGCCCCTGCCAGCCCTGTCAGAAGGCCAGTTACTGGCTCCTCACTTTGGCCTGGACCTACCCTGGCTGTCATGGCCATTTGGGGAGTGGACAAGTTGTTAGAAGGTCTCTGCTTGTGTCTGTGCCTCTCTCTCACTCCGCCTTTCAAATAAAAAAATGAAAATTAAAAAATAGTACCCCAGTTTTAAAATTTCCAACAGAAAAATTATTGTGGTCAAATAGACAGAGACTCTCTGTTCCCCAGCTCCCTATGGGAGGAGGGGTACAGCTTTACCTTGAGCAGGATGGGCTGCTGGTATTCCTCATCTTACCCAGCTGCTTAAGATGGGAGCCCTTTCCCAAGTCCTCTTGCACTCACAGGGCAGGGCCAAGAACATGGGTCTGACTGCCCTGCCCAGCTCCCACACTGGGCGAGGCTCCCCGTCAGTAGAGGCAGGAGACGGAAGGCAAAGCCCAGTCTGTCCCTGCAGTGGGGTCTCCGCAGACACATCAGTTTCTGTGGGGTCAGACTGCAGTGGACCCTGGTTGCCAGCTGTATAGAACTACAAGTCCAGTCCCTGAGCATTGTAATCCCTGGGATCTTTCACTTCCTGAGGCTGTCCAGCTCTTCCGTTTCTCAATTCTCCAATTCTGGGTTCCCAGGGGCAACTTCGGTGCCAGACGTCCCCCTTGAGGTCATAATCCTCCTTTATGTCCCTGTACGACTTCCCTGCTCCCTCTCAATCTAGTGTAAACCTACTTTAGGCCGGCTTGGTGTTGAACTCTGTAAAAACAAACTTAAGAACTGGCGATTTAGTAACTGCACTTTTGTGGCTGGGAGGCATCAGGGGAAAGAACGAGGTGGGGTTTGTGGGTCTCAGAGGAAACATGATTAAAGGGGCAACAGCCTGGTTGCAGGGTCCCTCCTAGAAGGCCCCTCTGCCAGTCCCAGGGCAGGGCGCAGGCTTCTGTCCAGGGGAAACATCAGTGTTCTGAGTCCTGAGGACACTCGCGTTGCTTGGGGCAGTCTGGAAAACCACTGCCTAAGATGGAGACCTGGGGGTTGGTGGAGGATGCTGGGAGCCCCGTGATGCTAGCGAGCAGCCTAGAAGCCCGGAGCTCCTACAGGAGCTGCAGAGGAGCGGAGTCCGGGAGAGGGGGAAGGCCAAGCGCCTGCGCCAGGCTGCAACCCCTCAGGGGCAGGACTGAGCAGGCCTGAAAGCAGCCTCAAGCCACGCGGACCAATCAGCGCATAGCTGAGGCCTCCCTGGCAGAAGGGGCTGATCCTCACCATCCCACTTGTGCCTGGGTGGAAGGCTTTGGGCAGGCTGTTTAGGAGGTGATAGGGTCGCTAGCAGGGAGCCCTCGTGAATGGCATTAGTGCCCTGGTAACAGATGCCCAGGAGAGCACATTGGCTTCTGGTGCCTGCACGACACCTTCTACTGAGCAGAGAGCAAGCTCATCAGACACGAAACCACCGACGCCTTTTTCTTGGACTTCCCAGAGTCTAGAAGTGTGAGAAACAAACTTCTAGTGTTTGTAAGTTTCATAGCCTAAGGTGTTCTCTATAGCAGTCCGAATGGACTAAGGCCACATGGGCTTGCTGGAAGCTGTTTTGCTGTTTGGGGCAGTGGAAAGCCAGCACCGGAGAAGACCTGTGCATACAGCTGGTTTTCCCGTGGTCGCAGATCCTCCATCCTCACACTGGGTTACACACTGGGTTACTCACCCTCACCCTCGAGGCCTGCTCACAATATTTCTTCTTCATAGCATTCCCTTCACCAGCTGAATGATCACCCCTTGTCCTGGTCCAGCTCACTTGCTACCTCCTCCTTGTTGCCATCTAGAATCTTTCAGGTGCAGTCACCTTTCCTCTTCCCCATACCACCCAGTGCCTCAGTGGGCAACGCAGCAATTGTATCATCTGTCTCTGAGCTGAAGTTGTTTCTGTGCCTATTTCATCTTCAGAAACTTAAGCCCTAGAGAGGAACAGCTGGGCCTGGGTCCCCTCTCCCTAGCACCTATTCCAGAATCTTCCATGCAAGATCTATTCCATGCATATAAATTAAAATTATTTCCTATTTGAATCTAGGGAGGGTGGGAGTAAGGAGGATATATTATTCCCAGCTTCTACATCCAAGAATATGGCCATGAAGCTTTATCACCCTATCTGCTATAGTAAAATGAAATAGTGATGTGTAATTAAAGACATTAGTCCAGCTCCTTCCTTTGTACAAATACAAATTCTCACTCACTCATGGACACACTCTTGCCATTTTTCAGCCTTGGCATGTGGTCACTCTTGCACAGCAAGGAAGAGAGCATAATGAAATATTTCCCATTGCTTTGGACTGGCAAAACGGTGTTTATACAATTACATGAAAACAAGCTAATGTGATGGCATTGCTGAGGTTTAATGGTTTGGGGTCAGGAAATTACAGTTCCCTGGTTACACATTTCCCTGCAGATTGGTTTACATCTCATCAGAAAGGAATCTTGCTTTGGAGTTATTCCTTCATGCTTTGGGGCTGATTATAAATAAGGGACTGGGGAAATGACTTCTTATGCTACCCTTGATCTTAGCCAAAATGACTTCTTAAGTGAATTCATTTCTTCCTGAGAGACAAATATGCAGAGAAGTGCACTCAGCTTCCAGAAGGCACCAGAAAATTCCATGAACTACCTTTATGAGGCGGCAACACAAAGAATGATAAGGATGGCTTCTCAGCTGGTCAGATTTGTCTTTCAACTGACCTGTCAAACCCTGTGGACCTTGCCAGTACCCCAGGGACATCAGCTACAGACACAACTAGCAAGGCACTAGGAACAGCACTGGACGTGTGATCAGAAAACCTGGTTAAAGACCGAGAGAGGTCCCAAGAAGCCATAGGACCCCAGGCAATAACATGTAACTTCTCAAGGACATAGAGCGTATGTCTATGTATGCAATGATTGCTTGGGCTTCTTTGCACTGAGCTGAACCTATGCCAGTTCATTAGACTCCTATCCCACATCTACCAAATCCCTGGAGCTGACCCATCAACACTGGGGTCATTGTTCTAATTGTGCTGACTCACACACATATTCTGACCTGGTTCTCTTTGTAACTAACTCTGTATTTGCCACACTGTGGCTGAAGCAATGGGATTTGACTGAATCTGGGACAGCTTTCCCTTGTCCAAACATGGCATTAAAGGAATGGCTCTGGAACTTCTGCCTTAACAGATAATCAATGAATAATTTATATGATCACTGACATTTAAGGATTTCTTTGGGGATTACTTTGGAGCTCAAAGGCAAATAACTAAATGTTTATGTTCTGAACCAAAGAGGTTGGATGAGTGGGACATTGGCTGTGCAGGGACAATCACTTGAAAAATGAGGCGGACATTCTATACCACTCAAGGAAAAAGTAAAGCAGGGCTTACCAGACAAGTTTACAACTCTGGGAATCTCTGTAATACTA